TTTTTTTTTTTTTTCCTGAGGGGATTCTGTTTTATTCACAATTGAGGTCGAAAGAGGATATCTTGAATGGAATTAGTTGAAAATGAACTTTGATGGGTTAGTTAGTTGTGTGGTTTTTCGGGTTGAGATTACGAAAAACATGTTGTCGAGTCGATCGAATTTCCATGCTGGGAAATGAAAATATGCTCATATGTTATCTGAATTTCCATATTTTGTTTGGGGTATAGATTTGCTTGATTGTAATTTCCAGCAAGAAGAACCTCAGTAAACAAAACATGAGTCTTTGCTAGGAAAAAAGTTCACCTTTCCAATTTTTCTTTTTTTTTTTCTTTTTTTGGGATAGATCTCGATGAGAAGACAAGAAAAATGCTGAAGCTGATAGATGAAGATGCCGACTCGTTCGCTCAACGTGCCGAGATGTACTACCGTAAGCGTCCCGAGCTCGTGTCCATGGTCGAGGACTTCTACCGGGCCCACCGCTCCCTAGCCGAGCGGCACGAACAACAGGCCAAATCTGAATCGGGCCTGGCCCGATTCCCAACTCAGTGGACCCCACAATCCCCCCCTCTATCCTTCTCAAAGTACCGTCTCGACAAATCCCCGAGCCTCAGTGACAGGGCTTATGACAGCTACTCGGAGGCACGTGGGCCCGATTTTTCGGACGAGTCTGAAGTGGACGACCCGGAAGTTGAAGATGAAGAAATTTTAGAAAACATGAGCGAAAATGAGGATTTTAATAAGATTAAGATCGAGAGGCTTATGGAAGAAGTCGAGAGGCTGAGGGAGGAAAATCGGGCTCAAAAAGATCGACTTGCGGAAAAGGATGAGGAGAAGAGGGAAGCTATTAGGCAGTTGAGTTTGGCGGTCGATTTATTGAGAGATGAGAATACGAAGCTTAGGGAGCATTTGGCTGCGAAGAAGAAAACGAGACCTAAGAATGAAGGTAGAGTAGAGGAAGAAGGGTTTTTCGGGAGGTTTTTCGGAGGACTTTCGGGGAAGTTATTATTACCGGCGGCTACTACTAATCTGGTCGCGGTGTAAGGTGTATTTTTGTTGTTCATTTTCTTTTAGTTTTTGTGTGAGAGATTATTAAGGAACATATATATGTGTGTGTTTTGTGTGTTAACTATAATGTGTGTGTATTGTGTTGCTTCATTTTTGTTTATAGACCTGTGAGTTCTTGTTTGTTCTTCTTCTTCTTCTTGTTCTTCTGTTGTGAAACCAGCATGGATCTGTGTTGTATTCTTTATTCTTTATAAATGTTTACTTATTTGTGTTTGGTTATTTGAATAATGATGGTATTTGATTTATTATTATTATTATTATTATTATTATTATTATTATTATTATTATTATTATTATTATTATTTCCTGATATGGATAGAACAGAGCATTCATTTACCTATTTTAGGCTAAGAAGTGCATGGTATGCAGCATGAAAATGAGGCTAGAGTTGTTAAAAAAATGAGAAGCTCATGAGTTCAACTTGTTAAGACTCGAAAATATAGATTTTTATACGATTTTTTAAAGCTTGAAGCTTTAATGTTCGCTTTCAGCTTATTAAATTTGAGCTACTCATAAAAAAACCGGGCTCCAGCTTATTTAGTTAACGAGATGAACTCGACTTAGCTAAGTAAGGGCTCGAGCCAAAGCCCAAGCCCAAGCCCAAGCATTAGGAGCCCAAGCTCGACTGGGCTCGGCTCATTTACATCTTTATATGTGCCAAACTGAAAAGAGAGTCAAGCTAACATATACATATACACACTACTAAACATGTAAAAATAAATTAAAGTTTCATAAAATAAATTCCAAGTACTAACTACACCTCACACAATAATCAAAATGAGTTTAAAAAATAAAAAATTGAAAACCCATGAAAACTCACTTCCCTTCAAACCTGCACATCTCTAAAGAGCTGCATTCACCAAAACAACACCAAACAAAGCCACCACCAAGCCCAAAAACACCGGCACATCGAACCGGTTCGAAAACGAACCCTGCGTAAGCCCATATTCCTGCGAAGGCCCAAGTACTGTTACCGGGCCATGAGCCTCCATCGGGTCGGGATTAGGTGGGCTCGGGCTCGACGGAATCAAGGGCAATGAGGAGTCGCCCGGAGAGAGCGCGGGCCCACCCGGCGTTGGAAAGAGAGGAAAAATGTCCGGCGACAATGCCGGCGGCGAAGACACCGGAGATATGAAATCCGGCGAGATCGCCGGAGCAGCCGAAATAGCCGAAGCCGGTAAGCTCAACTCCCCCGAGGCGAAAGATATCGAAAAAAACGCGGTAAATGAGGTGAAAATAATAGTAACCAAAGATGGGGTTGTGTTAAATATTGAGTAGGCCATTAAAGATGCAATCTTTTTTTGTTGGGGTATAGGAAAAATTGAATCTTTTTGTTTTTTTTTTTCTTTGGGTACTGAAATAAATGGAGCTCAAATTTTCTCTTGCAGAGAGAGATAGAAATGAGTGATGAATGATTGCAACAAAAGGAACCATTTTCATGATGGCGATCGATGAGGTGGGGGGGCCCGAAAGACACGTGGCATGTGGTGATTGGTGGGCCGATGAGGAAACACAGCTATGCCATGTTGAGCTAAAGGGCTGAGATGAAAATTTGATGATAAAAATGAGCATTTTGTTTGGTGAAAATTTTGGTTTGGTGTTGATTGTTTGTTGTCTTTGTGCAGCATTCAGATGTCCGTGAAATTCTTGTGTCCCTTTTTGAGAGGTGGTGGGGACAATAAGATTCCGTCATTTTGGAATAATTTGGGGACTAATTAAGCAATTTTTTTATTTTTTTTTATTTTGTTAAAAGTTTGGAAAATTTTCTTGCTTGTCAATTTGGAGGTACTCATTGTTTGTATTTGAACCGAACATATGGGAAATGATACAATCCCTTTACGAAGCTATTCCGTCGGGATTTGTAGCCATTAGATCAACTATCTAAATGGTTTCATAACGGGACTATGGAATCTCTCCCAAACATATAGTTATGAGAGGTAAAGATTTTTATATTTCAAAATCAAATTCCAAATTTATGATTCATTTCGTGTGATGATTAATAGTTGTGTAACTAATTGAAATTTTGTGATTATGGTGTTAAGTAAGGCCGTGTTTGGGGGCTTGACCAATAATGGAACCCAAAGGCTTGATGAGGGCATTAGTTCTTCTAAAGTCGAGTAGAGCTGTAAATTAGCCGAGTCAAGCTCCTAAAACTCGAGCTCGTGCTCGAAGTGATAAAAAAGCACAACTCAACTTGTTTATCGAATGTAGTAATCTATACTTGAGTATTAGCAACCCAAACTATCCTATTACTTCAGTAAAATTACAAAAAACCACTACTTTTCGAGTCTCGGCTCATTAACACAATAAGCTCAAGCTCAATTCATTTGAGGCAAACTCGAGCAAGTCAAACCCGTGAGCCGGGGGTGATTGTTTATCAATCCAATTAAAAAAAAAAAAATCAAAACTCAAATTTAACTCAACTATCTCCATTATTATCAATATAATCAAATAATATCAACTAGTCATTCAACCAATCATTTTTACACATTACATCAACTTTAATTCACTATTCATCCACTCACACAATTTTAACTAGCTATCACTTCCAATAATTTAATTCCTACTTTTACATCATAACAACTTTAATTATTTTATTTTAAATATTATTTTAATATATCCACTAACAACAAACCATGTCAGTTTTTTTAAAATTAACTATAATTATAAATAAATCAATTAAAAACTAATTGAATTTATAAACAATCACCCTAAAGCGGAAGTACTCAATTCTTGATGTGACATCTTCCTTGTGATGAAGTCCAAAAATATAAAATAACAATTCAACAATAGAAACATATAGGAAAAACAATATTTTAACCACAACTATATTAATCGCGTTGTAAATATTGAGTTGTGCACACATTAGGTTGAAGAATAGACAAGCAATAGTGTATCTCTACAACAAACGATGGACCAATGAATGGCTCAAATATGATAATTTGTTGAAATGATTACGGGCCACCAATAAACCCATAAAGTAGCCCATCATACAGAAAGCCCATAAAATTGCTCCGTATATAGAAATTAAAATAGAAATATATTAACCATTTTTTAGAATTTATTTGTATATTATTGGCAATCATTATATTTTTTTACTATTTTTTTTTCTTTCTATAATGAAATTCTTGTAAAATATATTTCATTGCCCAATATGTTAAATAAACTATAAATGCTTATAATTCAAATTAGAAAAATCTTGATTACAGAAGAGATTGGATTTTTGACATTTGTTGAATCAAAGTTGTGTAATTAGTACACAAAATTAAATTATAAAAAAAAACATGTATGTATATCTCATAAAATACTTATACACTGTTTAATTTAAATTTTATTTACATATTTTAAATTAATTACATAAATAAATAATA